TTTTAGTAGAGACGGGGTTTCACCATGTTGACCAGGATGGTCTCGATCTCTTGACCTCGTGATCCACCGCGCCCGGCCATATTATCCTTTTTTACATATTGTTGGATTTGACTTGCTAATATTTTGCCAAGAATTTTGTCTTTTCATGAGTGACATTGGTATGTAATTCCCTTTCCTTGTATTTTATTTGTCTGTTTCTTATGTTAACTCTTTTGCTTTTCAAAAGAGGATTTCCAGGAATCATGCTGATATAATATGTATTATACTGGTATAATAAAGGAGTAAGATATAATTTATGTTATATATAATATATAGATAATATGTACTAGGTATAATTATTAGCTAACATTAGTTATTAATAATAGCTATTAGTAGCTCCCTTAAACTACTTATACATACACGAGTTTTCTTCTCTTTTTTGTTCAGTTATTTCCATTCTGCCCCTTTGCTGCTGTTTTCTGCTGCAGTAGCTTTTCTTTGCCACTTTGCTGTAGCTTTCTGTCCCCCTTCTGTGTTGCCCTTTTCCTTTGCTGTAAACTTTTCCTGTTCTAGTCTTCTGCCTTTTACTCTCAAAATTTGTTTGTTCATTTATTCATTCATTCAGGAGTTCGAGTTTCTACTGTGTACAGGACACTGTCCTAGATGCTGGCACACAGGGTTACAGGAATAGCTGCTGCCCTTAGGAAACTCAAAAGCTTTGGAGGACCATGCCCACCTCAGCTAGCCAGTTTAAAGCAGCACTGCTGGCCACCAAGTCCCTCTGTATTTAGGGAACCAGCTCTGAGTGGACAAGGGAACTTGAAGGGGAATTCTTCCTGGGCTCAGGGGTTGGACCTCTCAGCTTATTAGGCCTTGCCCTCCCTGGGCAAGGTAGGAGTCTTAACCACCAGGGATTCTAGATTGATTCACTGAATGACCAATTGTGGAATTTTCCAAAGTTAAACAAATTTACATAAAGTACAAAATTTCCCCCATTTACATAAAACTGTTTGTTTTTCAAAGATATCCTCAATTTGTACTGGATAGATTCATAGTCCAGGAAGGCTCAGAGAACCAGCATTCAAGGGTCTTGGGGTCTTCAGGCATTCCTCCTTCTCCCCAGGGTTCTTCTCTCTTTGCTCCTCAGGTTCCCTACTCTGGGATGAGGAGCCCAGGCTGGGGGGTCTATCTGAATGAAGCACAGCATCTTGCACATAACAGCAACTCAGGCTCTGACCCTCTTCACTCAGTGGAGGGTCCCTTCTGTACAGCTTTATTCAGCTAGACTTTCAGGAAGCTGAGGCAGGGACAAACTGAACATTCATCAGCTGTGTTAAGGATTTGCTCGGTCTAGAAATAAGATTATCTTTTTTTTGAGACAGAGTCTCACTTTGTTGCCCAGGATGGAGTACAGTGGTGCAATCTTAGCTCACTGCAACTTTCACTTCCCAGGTTCAAGTGCTTCTCCCGCCTCAGCCTCCTGAGTAGCTGGGATTATAGGCGCCAGCCACCACGCCTGACGAATTTTTGTATTTTTAGTAGAGTCGGGTTTTCACCATGTTGGCCAGGCTGGCCTCAATTGAATTCCTGACCTCAAGTGATCCACCTGCCTCAGCCTCCTAAAGTGCTGGGATTACAGGCATGAGCCACTGTGCCTGGCTTAGAAATAAGATTTTTTAAATTTTCATTTTTAACATAAAAAATTACAAGTTTCTGAGATCGCGCCATTGCACTCCAGCCTGGGTAACAAGAGCGAAATTCCGTCTCAGAAAAAAAAAGAAAAAAAAAATTGCAAGTTTCTATGCATGATTCATGGCTTGCAAAAGTATTCCTATATAATACAGATATTTTTTGAGACAGAGTCTCGTTCGGTTGCCCAGGCTGGAGTGCAATGGTACAATCTCGCCTCACTGCAACCTCCGCCTCCTGGGTTCAAGCGATTCTCCTACCTCAGCCTCCCAAGTAGCTGGGACTACAGGCACTAGACTACAAGGACCACCACGCCTGGCTAATTTTTCATATTTTTAGTAGAGATGGGGTTTACTGTATTAGCCAGGTCTCTGTCTCCTGACCTTGTGATCTGCCCACCTCAGCCTCCCAAAGTGCTGGGATTACAGGCATGAGCCACTGTGCCTGGCCTGGCATAATTGTTTTTAATCTGTATGCCTTTTCTTTTTCTTGCCTTATTGCACTGACTAGGGACTCTGGTATCATGTTTAATTGAAGTAGGGAAAGTAAACGTCTTTGCCTTGTTCTTAACCCCAGAGAGAAAGCATTCTCTCTTTCACCATCAAGTATGATGCTGAGTTTTTAAAGATGCCCTTTATTAGGTTGAGGAAGTTCCCTTCTACTCCTGGTTTGGTGAGAGTTAATCATGAATAAATGCTGAGTTTTGTCTGATGCTTTTTCTGTATCTATTAAGATTATCAAAAGGTTTTTCTTTTAAAATTCATTATGGCAAATTACATTGACTGATTATCAAATTTTGAATGTTGATTTTCTATGTTTTTGAATGTTGATGTTTCAAATATTGCATTTTTGGGATAACCCTACTTGGTCATGGCATATTATCCTTTTTTTTTTTTTTTTTTTTTTNGGGTTTCACCATGTTGACCAGGATGGTCTCGATCTCTTGACCTCGTGATCCACCCGCCTCGGCCTCCCAAAGTGCTGGGATTACAGGCGTGAGCCACCGCGCCCGGCCAATTTTTTATATTTTTAGTAGAGATGGGATCTCACCATGTTGGCCAGGCTGGTCTTGAACTCCCGACCTCAGGTGATCTGCCCACCTCAGCCTCCCAAAGTGCTGGGATTACAGGCATGAGCCACCGCTCTCAGCCTGCTCCTATATAATTGAATAAATGAACCACTACTAAATGCTTGGAGGGGTTGGGAGTGTTGCTGTAAAGACAGAATAAAAACCAAGTAATTAAAAGTTGGCAAAGTTCTTCAAAAGCTTTTAAGGTCATCTCATTAGATGAACTGCTATAAGCTTTATATATGGCTAACAGAAAAAGAATTTTGGTAAATCAATAAATTTGGTAAAATCAAGAATTGGTCATTTGGCAAAATTGGCTTAAAATACTTTTAGAAATGCTACCTACGAAGAAAACAACTATTTAAACATAGTTTAAAATTAATCATTACAAGATAAAAAATTTCCATGTGAAACCCTAAAATTTTTGTTATATCAGCAGGATACAGTCATAAGAAAACAAAACCACACTAAGATCATTGACGATTTTTTTAGGTCTCCATGAAACCAGAACCTTGACTTTTTTTTAAACATGCAAATCTAAAGTTGCAAAAATAGTGCAGTGAATCCCATATGTCCTCTACACTCACCAGTGATGAATGCTGGTGACATTTGTTTTCTCTCTGTATAGAGATAGACATTTTTTGTTGTTAAATAATTTGAGTGGAAGTTGTAGAAATTATGACTCTAGAATCTACCTTTAAGGGCTATGTGCAGTGGTTCACATGTGTAATCCCAGCACTTTGGGAGGCTGAAGTGGGCAGGTCACTTGAGGTCAAGAGTTCAAGACCAGCCTGGTCAACATGATGAAACCTCATCTCTACTAAAAATACAAACTAGCTGGGTGTGGTGGCACATGCCTGTAGTCCCAGCTACTCCGGAGTCTGGGGCAGGAGAATTGCTTGAACCGGGGAGGCACAGGTTGCAGTGAGCTGAGATTATGCCACTGCACTTCAGCCTGAGTGACACAGCAAGACTGTCTCAAAAAAAAAAAAAAAAAATAGAGAGAGGAGAGATAATAAATTTATAAGGATATTCTTTAACATAACCGTGCTAAAATTATCAAGTTTAGAAAATTGAACATACAATACTATTATCCAATGTATGACCCATGTTCAAATTTTGCCAATTATGTTAAAAAATTTCTTTATAGCAATTTTTTTCCAATCTAGGATCCAGTCCAGGTTCAAATGTTGCATTTCTTTGTCCTGACTTTTTTTTGTCTCCTTTAATCTGAAAACATTCTACAGGCTTTCTTAGCTTTTTATCATATTTGCATTTTTGAAGCTTGAAGGCAGTTGTTGCATAGACTGTCTCTCAATTTGGTTTTGTCTTGTTGTTAGCCTGTGATTAGATTCCGGTTGTTCATTTTTGTCAGGAACACCACAAGTTATGCTGTGTCCTTTCCCATGTCTGACATCAGGAGGCACGTAATATCATACTGGCTGATAGTTGGTGATCTTAGCTTTGATCACTTGTGATGTTCACCAGCTTTCTCCATTGTAAAGGTACCCCTGTTTCCCAATTATAATGAATATGTAGTCTGTGGGGAAATTTGAGACTGTGTAAATATCCTGCTTCAGAGTAAATTTCATGAATGGCTTTAGCGTTCATTGATGATTCTTGCCTGAATCAATTATTACTATGATGGTTGCAAAACAGTGATTTTTTTTAACTCTGTCATTCTTCTACATTCATTAGTTGATGTTCAACTGTGAAATAAGGTTTCCCTTCCCCCACTTCTTCCTTCCTTTTTCTATTTATTTATTATTTGCATATCTACCTATCTACCTACCCGTAGAGACTCATGGACTCGTTATATTCAAAAGTTCTACTATGAGGCCTGGCATGGTGGCTTATGCCTGTAATCCCAGCACTTTGGGAGGCCATAGCAGGCAGATCGCTTAAGCTCAGGAGTTCGAGACCAGCCTGGACAACAAGGCAAAATTCCATCTCCACTAAAAATAAAAAAACTAGCTGGGTGTGGTTGTGCATGCCTGTAGTCCCAGCTACTCAGGAGGCTGAGGCAGGAGGATCACCTGACCCCGGGAGGTCAAGGCTGCAGGGAACTACGATGACACTTCAGCCTGGGAGACAGAGCGAGAAACTGTCTCAAAAAAGAAAAGAAGAAAAAAATTTCTACTCTGAAAAGCAAAGGGGTAAAGAATTGTGCTTACCTTTGGAGATAATGTAGAACCCTAAACCTAATGCTAGTTTGGCATATTTGGTAGTTTTTTGTATTTGGACCTCAGAGGTACAAAATTGGATTAATCATAATCCTTGGTTCATGATATACTCCTATTTTTCATGCATGGTCCATTCCTTTTTCTATTTTTTTGGGACAGGGTCTCACTCTATTCCTCAGGCTGGAGCGTAGTGATGCACACAGCTCACTACAACTTCAAACTCCTGGGCATGAGCGGTCCTGCCACCCTGGCCTCCCAAGTAGCTGGGAATATAGGCAAGTGCCACCATGCCCGGCTAATTTTTAAATTTTTTGTAGCAACAGGTCTCTCTGTGTTGGCCAGGCTGGTCTCAAACTTCTGACCTCAAGCGATCCTCCCACCTCAGCCTCCCAAAGTACTGAGATTATAGGCGTGAGCGACCGCACCTGGCCAATAACCAATTATTTTTAAAACTATGCACCTCAAACCCACTGCTCAAAACAAAAACTATAACAGATAATAATTCTATGACCTAGCAATTCTACTCCTAGGTATGTGAGAAATCCTTGTTTATATAAAAGAGGAGACAGATATGTACAAGAATGTTCTTAGCAGTACTATTTACAGTGGCAAAACCCTAATGCCCATCTACAGGATAGAGCATGAAAAAACTGGTACGTTCTTACAATGGACTAATATACAGGAGTTGAAATCAATGAACTATAATGACATACAACATGAATGCGTCTTATCAATATAAGATTAAGCAAAACAGCTCCCCAAAAATAGAGTTCAATACCCCTTTTATAAAGCATAAAATATAGGAGTATCTATATTTTAAGAATATAGATAGACACAAAGTAATTATATAGCAAGGAAAGCAATGGAATCAAAAAGGGGTTCAGGATTATGGTGACCGGGGATGAGGGATAGTGGAGGGATGGGATAGGGCAGATGAACACATGGCTGGTGTAGATTGTCATGTTTATTAATGGCTTTAAAGAAAATCCAGTACATGTAACTCAAACTTGGACATATGAGAAAAAGCTTGTTTTCCAGACTTTTTGCTACGATTTTAGTTTTAGGATTTCCTCCCCACCTTACCCCCCACAAGACAGAGTCTTGTTCTGTCACCCAGGCTGGAGTGCAGTGACACAATCTCGTCTCACTGCAACCTCTACCTCCCCAATTCAAAGGATTCTCGTGCTTCAGCCACCCAAGTAGCTGGAATTACAGGTGTGTGCCACTACGCCCAGCTAATTTTTTTGTATTTTTAGTAGAGACGTGGTTTCACTATGTTGGCCAGGCTGGTTTCCAACTCCTGGCCTCAAGTGACCTGCCTGCCTGGGCCTCCCCAAGTGCTGGGACTACAGGCGTGAGCTACCGCTTCTGGCTCCTAGGATTTCCTGATAGAGCTGATTGACTTTCATGTAAGCATATGTTAAGATCACGTAGTGTTAATTTGGGATTATACTGTATGCCAAAAAATAAAGTTCATAAATTTATAGAACTAGAAGTAAGGCCAGGTATGATGCCTCACGTCTGTAATCCTAATACTTTGGGTGACTGAGGCAGCATTGCTTGATCTCAAGAGTTTGAGACCAGCTTAGGCAACAGAGCGAGACGTTGTCTCTATCTAGCTGGGCATGGTGGCACGGCCTATGGTTCCAGCTATTTGGGAGGCTGAGGTGGGAGAATCTGCTTGAGCCCAGGAGGTTGAGGCTGCAGTGAGCTATGGTAGCGCCACCGCACCCCAGCCTGGGTGACACAGCAAGACTGTGTCGCCAAAAAAAGAAGAAAGATAAAGAAGGTAGTGAAATCCCAATGAGTAATATTTCTCCTTTCTTAAAAAGTATAATCGTTTAGTAGGAAAATGAGAATTTTTATCTAAATGAAATCATAAATTGCTTTAAGAGGCTCCTGCATTTCACTTTTAATTGCCAAAAACTTTTCTCAAGTTTGAAAATACCTAAAAGCCATATATATGTATATATTTTTTGAGACAGAATTTTGCTCTTGTTGCCCAGGCTGGAGTGCAATGGCGCAATCTCGGCTTGGCGCAATCTCGGCTCCCCGCAACCTCAGCCTCCTGGATTTAAGCGATTCTCCTGCCTCAGCCTCCCCAATAGTTGGGATTACAGGCATGCATTAGCACGCCTGGCTAATTTTTTGTTTTTAGGAGAGATGGGGTTTCTCCATGTTGGTCAGGCTGATCTCAAACTCCCAATCTCAGGTGATCCGCCCACGTCGGCCTCCCAAAGTGCTGGGATTACAGTTGAGAGCCACCGTGCCTGGCTGCCATATACTATTTTAATAGAGTCACTAGTTTTTCATGGAGTTATTGTTGATCCCTCTTTCTCCCTCACTTGCCACAGTCCTTTACAAGAGCAGTGCTGAGTCTGTCGCCTTAACATTGCTCTACTCTGAACCTCTTTTGTTCTCTTCAACCGCTGCTGTAGTTTAAGCCTAGGTTTGCAAACTAGCAACTCAAGGGACACCTTCGGCCTACAGACAAGCTGTGTTTGGCCTGTGCAAAGTTGAAAGTTTAAAAAATTTGTTGCCAACGTTTAAAAATTTGGAAGTTGTGCTTAAAAATGCAGATCCCAGCTTCTTTTAAAAAATAAAAATATTATAGCTAGGTGTGGTGGTGTTGGGGGAAACGGCAATGGAGGAAAGGCTTACAGAGTGCCACATAAAATGATCTCAAGTACTGGGAGCAATAGACTGCGGCCAACTGCGTCAGGCCTCTGGGGAGGCAAACTTCCCCAAGCCTTCAAGTTCCAGCTGCAGAGCGACCTTGACTCTGTTACAATGCATAAGATGCTCAAGGACTTAAAACCCCTTTTGTAGCATCACAAAGTAACCAGACTTGTAGGCTCCTTGTGAGACTCACTTCCTCCAGCTGTGCCTAGAATGCAATCTGTAGATAATAACCACATGTTCTGCTTTTCAAAGAAACTCACAAAGCCGCCACTGCCAGCAATCTTCAGAATGACCCGCCAGCTCCAGTTCACCGAAGAATGCTCCACCATCGCACCACCCCCTCCCCACCATCACCTCACCTTCACCCCACCATCTGCTGACTGCTCAAAGTGACTGTAACCAATAAATGCTGTGGGGAACCTAAGCTCGGGGACTTCACTGCCTCCATTACAAGTGATGGTCCCCTGGTCCCACTTTCATTCCTAATCTTTCTCTCATTCCCCTGTCGCCACGGAACTCGGGGTACCCACGGGTGGGGTGTGGGGGCTGGTTCCCTACATGGTGGCTCACACCTGTAGTCCTAGCTATTCAGGAGGCCGACGAAGGAGGATTGCTGGAGCCCAGGAGTTCCAAGCTGCAGGGAGCTATGATTGTGCCACTGCACTCCAGCCTGGGCAACAGAGAGACCCATCTTTGAAAAAGAAAAAAGAGAAACCAGAATATCTGGCAACGCTAGGCCTACAAGTTTCTTTCAACTCGTTCACTTCACTCCTTAGCATCACTTGCTTACCCCCATAAGGGCGACCAGTCTCCTTTATCTAGCCTTCCACCCTCACCTCAATAGAGCATTATATCTACCCCACCTCCTCTACATTGTCAAAAGTGGCTTTCTCATGAGGTTCAATCAAATCATTTCTTGATTTGCATATGCTTGATTTGCTGGTTGTTTTCAGGATAAAATCCAAACTCCTTAAAATGGCATTTCACGATCCGGTTTGCCCACACCATGCCGTTCCTCACTCCCTCCCAGCTCTGGCTCCCCAGCACCTGCAGTTCCCAGATCAGCATGCTTCCTGACATCTGCCGTGCTGCTCTCTCCACCTTCTCTCCTTTCTCCCGGCTAACCCGTACTCAGCCTTCAAAACTGCGTTGACATCCGTCTTCCGAGAACCCCGAAGCCTTTCCTGCTCTTTGAGGATCCCTCAGCAACCTATGCTCTTGAGTTGCTGAGCTCTTCCTTTAAGTGCTCGAGGTCTCCAGACACACCAGCAGACATTAACCAAGGGCGGGCTGAGGGGGGTAATCGTACGGGGATTAGATCAGTGCTATTTCCTAGTCTACACCGCGAACTGAGTTCTGTCCCCACGGTGTAATGTGACCGGGGTGAACAAGGGTCCGCCCCGGTACGGATTCCTGAGACCACCGTCCCCCACCGTGTGCAAACCAGCAGGGAGCGCAGTAGACCGCGCGCGGCCTGGATTGGAGGGCGCGGCCCGCGGGAGCGGCCTGGGATTGGAGGGCGCGGCCCGCGGGAGCGGCCTGGGATTGGAGGGCGCGGCCCGCGGGAGCGGCCTGGGATTGGAGGGCGCGGCCCGCGAGCGCGGCCTGGGATTGGAGGGCGCGGTCTGCGGGAGCGGCCAGGTCTCGGAGGGCGCGGCCTGCGGGAGCGGCCTGGGATTGGAGGGCGCGGCCTGCTAGCCGGGTTTGCGATTGGAGGGCGTGGCCTGCGGGAGCAGCCTGGGATTGGAGGGCGCGGCCTGCGAGCGCGGCCTGGTCTGGGAGGGCTTGCTGGGAGCTGTAGTCCCCGGAGCCGGAAGTGGGGGTGGCCGGGGTTGAAGCCGCCGCTGAGGCGGCAGTCTCTGCCGCTGCCGCTGCCGCCACCCGCGCGTAGCGCATCACCCCGAGCCCACCGGCCGCAGGTGCCTCCTACGGCTCCAGGCGCCCCCGGGAGCCCTGAAGGGCGAAGCGGCAGGGACGCCTCTCTCAGGCGAAGAGGCGGCCTTGTCGCCCCGGATGCGGCCAGAGAGCGCGAGCATGGAGCTCGGCGGCGGCGAGGAGCGCCTGCCCGAGGAGAGCAGGTGGGCTGGGAGCGGCCGCGGAGCTGCGGCGGCTGCAGGAGCTGGAGCCCCGGGAGGCCTGGGAGGACGTGGGGACACGGAGGGAAGGGCCGGGCGCGGCGAGTCGAGGACGACGGCTGCGGACTTGTTTGGGAGGCATTTCGCAGAGGAGGGGCGGGCGGGGCGCAGGTGGGACGAGGGAACAGGCTGAGGGGGAGGACGGTGGGTGGGATTTTCCGCGGGCAGAGGGAGCAGAGGAGCGGGAAGCTCAGACCCAAGGCCGCTGGAGAGGAGGTGGCTGCTGAGCGTCTGGCGAAGAGACCGGAGTCTGTAGCCAGGGACGGGGCACCGCCCCGGCCGAAACTTGCCGTGACAGCAAGTGGGGCCCGTGTGA